TAAGCACTCCGTCCCCCTCTTCAGCAGCCAGCGAAGAGTTCCGATACTAATGGTGCCAGTAGCATTCTGATTAAACGTCTGTCTTGCCTTTCCTCTGAGCCTCGAGCATCTGCCAGAACCTCTCGTCACTTCCCGCTGCATTAATCTCACTAGACTGTGGTGATCCATCTGCTCCTCTTAACTGTACACGCTCTCCCACAAGGCACTAACCACGTCGGCCTTATCATGTATCAGCATTTCACCAAGTTGTGCAGAGCCAGCCAGTCTATCCGCCTGTTCATTTCCAAATCCAGACAATACTCCTCACCCGTGTCCTCCGCAGCGAAGCATGCCACTCTGCACGAAGCACACCTGTTCTGATAAAGAAGGAGATTCAACCAGTCAACCACCAGTACAGCATGGAAGCGGGCAAGCTACCACATCTTTCAGTTCCTAGTGTGCACACCCAAGAAGCTTGTTTCCTTCATCATCATGTGTCCTGTCAACTTGTGTAGGCGCTCATGCGTCTCCACAGATCACGATTCCTGGTTGACTGGAACAGCACTATTGATGATAAGCCTCCATGCCATCGTTTTAGCCCTTCCAGCATCATTTCTTTTGGTCTGCCTCTACTCCTTTTTCCACTGGTCTTTCCAGTTGTCACGATGTTCTCCAATGTCTATTTTCTCATTATGTGGCCAAAGAACAGTGTTTGTCTTTTTCTTATTGTTGTAAATAGAGATCTGCTTTCATTAGCCTCTTTCAAGCAATCATTGTTAGTTACTCTGGCCGTCCAAAGTATTCGTAACATTTGTCTCAGAAACCACAACTCTGTTGCTTCCAAATTCTTCTTAATTTGTTCAGTGACATTCCAAGATTCGCTGTTTGCTTGTTATCAGTAAATTTTGGGTTGAGTTGATTTATGAATCAACATCATGGCACTCATGACATTCCCAAAGCTTTGAGGCAAATTTGGTGACGTCACTTCTTTAAGCGAACACAGAATGGATGTCACATGTGTTTCATTTTATTTTTATCCTCGCTGAAAAACAACAAGTGATTTTTACCTTCACTTTTGATTTACGTATAAGGGATGTTTTTTGGAACAGATTTAATAATTTTATCATGTGATTCTCTTTGGAATTATGTTCAATATGTTGTGTTTTCACAGAGCAGCATCTCAAAGGTAAGAAGGAAATAAATGCTACACTGTATGTCCTATGATCCCTTCGTTTGTTAGTACAGTACACCTTATAATAGATCTGATGTTAACATTTTATAATTTAAATATTACGAATTCAAAATGGGCTCCCATTCGCAAAATAATGTGAATATACTGGGTAGACAAGAAGAATATTGCTAATATACTGGGTGGACAAGACAAATATTGCTGCTATACTCGTTGGACAAGAAGAGTATGCTGGTTAAGCTCACTCACTATTTTTAGTTGATTATGTGAATACATATTGAACATTCACCAACTAAAGTGTAAGCAGTTTCTGTTGTACTTTCTGTTTCTATGTTGTCCAGGCTACGTGCAAGGACGAAGGTGCACACGAGATGCTTCAGGGATTTTCTGTTTGCGGATGATGCAGCCATTGTGGCACATTCAGAGGATGATCTGCAGATCCTGATGAATCGCTTTGCAAATGCTTGCAAAGAATTTGGGCTTACCATCAGTCTGAACAAAACACAAGTGATGGGATTGAATGTTGGAAATCCACCAAACATTAGTGTGTATGACCATCAGCTGCTGGCTGTAAATGAGTTTGAGTACCTAGGCTCACAATCTCAGGCAATCATTCTCTGGATGCAGAACTAAACAAACGTATAGGAAAGGCCTCTGCTATGTTTGCAAATCTCACAAAGAGAGTCTGGTCAAACAAAAAGCTAACTGATAATACAAAAATGAAGGTTTATGAGTCTTGTGTCCTGAGCCCATTACTGTACGGCTGCGAATCCTGGACTCTCTATGCTCCACAGGAAAAAAGACTGAATACCTTCCATATGCGCTGTCTGAGACGCATCCTTGATATATTATGGCGAGACCTTGTCTCCAACGAATGTGTGCTCACAAGAGCAAAAATACCATCAATGTATTGTATACTGAAGTAAAGACGTCTGCGCTGGCTGGGACATGTCTCGCGCATGGAGGATGGTCGTATTCCAAAAGATCTCCTATATGGTGAATTGGTAACTGGGAATAGACCTACAGGAAGGCCAAAGCTGCGCTATAAAGATGTATGCAAACGTGACCTAATAGGTACCAACATAGGCACAGAGACATGGGAAAAATCAGCTGCAGATTGACTACTATGGAGACAGAAAGTGAAAGACGGACTGTCACATTTTGAAAGAAACCGAACACAACGAGCTGTGGAGAGGAGATACCGGAGAGTAAAACTACCTCACAACAAGGAAGTATCTGCTTTTGTGTGTATCCTGTGTGGCAAAGACTGCCATTCCCGCATCAGACTTTACAGTCACAGCAGATGCTGTTCCCAAAGCCAGCGGCACATCTCCATAGTCCCCCGGGACTGACGGATGCCATTACAGATATTTCTTGACACAACATTTTGAGCTGAAAATGGGAGATCCTAAGCAAATTAGCCCCACCCCCTTTTTATTTCACCTCCACCCCTCTAAAAAATTATAGAATGTATTATTACTTTTCTTTAGAAGATGAGACTATAGAGATTATATAAGTCATACTAATTAATTAATATTAAAACCTTTTTCTCGTCTCTTTTTAGTTTGTATATGTGTATATACCTAAATACGTTTTCTATTCTCGAGCTTATTGATGAAGTTGTAGGGAGTACTCACAGGACGGTCGGGAACTCACCGAAAAAGGGGACTGTCAGAGTGGAAACGAGTCCCTTATTTCACTTCACTGGTTTTTTTTAGTTCACACTAGCATAATAAAGCAACAGACCTTTTCACATGACTTCAGGCAAACTGGCTACATGTAATATTTTATAGACCAATATACACCTGTTGGGTAATGTGGTCAAAATGACGCCAGAAAGCATCAAGAACATATAAACTGGAACTAACCCTACCTGCATGTATCTTCTGTTATTAAATCCTTTTAAAACATGTTTTTTTTTTCTCACTTATATATGCACATATCTTTCTCCTCCCTACTAATTTTTAAACCACACTATGAAGACAGCATCAACATCATCACCACCATGTAGCAAGCTGGAAAGCCACTTAATCCCTTACACGTTTTCCCTCGTAATGAACTGTCCTTAATATTCCCTGTGCTGGTCAACCTGTCTTTTCTTCGAAGAACTACACCCTCCATTACTGTTCTCTGCAAATCAGTAAGGTCTTTAATATGACCAAAGTATTTCCATTTTCAACATACAATACTGTCCCCCTCAACACTAAGATCATGAAAAAATGTCAGTATTTTACTTTTTCTGGGTTTAAGAATCTTCCTGCCACATTTAGGCTCAGAAACTATGAAAGCAGCACTCATTAGATAAATGCAACTCTGATTATAACAAACTTATGTAAATGATTGGAAAACAATATTTAATATTTTGCTGTCTCTGTAAATCAACCAGCTAACCTTGCCCTCTGGGTAGAACATCCAGTACTCAAATCTCTATCAACAAATGACAAAAGATCTTCACACTGCAGTGGCATAGCGGTTAGCAAACTGGCTTTCCAAAAGAGTCATCTCAGTTCAATTAAGTGGCGGCAGGATTATATTTCTCAGCAAGGAGTTTTTCTTTTTGTTCTTCTTCGCATTCAGTTTCGTCTGCTCAGGTCTGACCATCAGGTGGGTTGCCTCTATGAACTCGCATGTCAGCAGCAGGTCCTTCATGGTTCCCCATAGCTTGCTCCGCACTTTGCTGCTGAGGCCAGGCTTTTTTTTCCCGAAGTTGTAGGTAGAGTGGGCAGGTCTGCAGAATGTGCTCAGGTGTCTGTGGTCTTGTCTGACAGGTACACTGTGGGGGCTGTAGTCTTTACTTTATGCTTGTGGTGGTTGAGCCTGCAATGAGTTTTAACCTGACCATACAAAATGTGTTCTGGATAGTTTTTAGAATTTTCTGGTAACTGTTTGCAAAGGAAAGGCAACAAGGAAGGAAACTAGTCATTGTATCTCATTAAGTCATAATTTTTCTCAGTAATGTACAAGTATTCACAACCTTGAAATTTAGTCATAAACAATCCCTATTTCTAATTTATCACTGACTGATTGATTTGAGATCTAAAACCCACTATACATCACTTTAGAGACAAGTATAGCTTCTAAGTCTCCCTAAGCAGAGGATTCAGGATACCTACTGCAGATCAAGTTCATTTACACTGCCTTCGGTATGTGATCCTACCAAGCTGCTTCTGTCAAATTCCACTAAGATGCACTGTTGCATCAATGCTGGCTTCACCACTACCAGGTGACCATGTATGATCTGCACTAACATTCTTGTGCTTCTCCTCTACAACAATGGTGCTAAACATTAGTTTCAGCAACTATAACTGAGCTTATTGCTCTCTGCTGGTCCTTCTTTTGCTGTTGTTCTGGTTGTGGTACATGGGGCTGTCGCTGATTCATACTTTGGCTTCAGGATAAAGTAGCTGACCATGAATGGTCTGCATCATTATACTTGTGCTCAGCTTCTCCTCTACAACAATGGTACTAAACATTAGTTTTAGCAGCCATAACTGAGCTTTCTGCTCTTTCCGCTTCTGCTGTTGTTGCGGTTGTGAAGTGTGTGTGCTGAGGCTTATCCTGGATTCAGGATAAAGCAGGTGACCATGCAGATCTGTAATGTTATTCTTGTGCTCAACTTCCCCTCTAAACCATGATACCTCACATGAACTTAAGCAGTTATAACTGAGCTTGTTGCTCTCTCTGATGGTCCCACTGTTTCTGCTGTTGTTGAGGTCGTGAAATGTATGCTGATGCTTATCCTGGATAATGCAGGTGACCATGCAGATCTGTAATGTCATTCTTGTGCTTTTAACTCTCCCTCTAAAACTATGATAGCTCACATGAACTTCAGTTATAACTGAGCTTGTTGCTCTCTCTGATGATCCCTCTGCTTCTGCTGTTGTTGCGGTTGTGGTGTGTGTGGCTGTTGCTGCTGCTGTGGTGTGTGCGGCTGCTGTTGTAGAGTCTGTGACTCTGGTATAGAGTAGCTGCGGACGACTCCTGTGTGCTTCTGCCTTATATGCTCCTGTTTGATTTTTTCTAATTCACCGAGACGGCTCTTGACATGTTCCGACCGGTGCATGGCCATCTGAAGGTCCTTTTGTGATGCATAAGAGGAGCCTTCATGTGGGTGACCTGAAATTAAAAACAGAAATCAAACATTAAATCAAATATCAACTTTACAGATTGAATAAATGAATGCCTATAATGAATATCTATCGAAATACTATATGGGAAGGTCTATATCTCTTCTACAGTGTGACTCTCATATAAAATAACCCTATTGTGTATTGATGGTAGTACTAGCAAACAAAATGCTCACATCTTTTTTTCTGTTTTCCAATTGCTGAACAAGTATATAATACTTTAGTCTTGTTCACTTCCTGATGTTATCATTCCAGGGACTTCTTTGCCCTCCTCTTCTTCGACTACTCCCCATGTTCCTGGAGGATAGAATCTTTGCGATTGACTCATGTCTCACCACACGCCTGAACCAAACTAACTTGGGACAGTTCACCACTGCCCAAAAAAAGTTTTTGATATTCTGACTTAACTGAAAATGATCACCATTCTTATTTCAACTTAAGAAATAAAAGACAGTAGGAAGGCAGCTTTGTATACCGCTCTACCTATGTGTAAGTCCTGACCAACGGGTGTGAGTCATAGGCAATGACAACAGCTCACAGAAGCAGCTTCAGGCCTCAGAAATGAGATATCTGAGAAAGGTTGTCCAAGTGACAAGAAGGGACAAAGTCCGCAATTAGACAATATGTCAAGATCTTGATATCCAGGCCTTACAAACCTGAGTGGATCAGTCACTGTTACAATGGTTTGGACATGTATGCAGATTGGAGAAAACGGCAGGCAGGGGATGCTAGGAACCAGGGAACCCGACCTCCAGGGTGACACAGTCCGCTGGGAAGACAACATTCGACAGTCCCGAACTGAAGGAGGACGGAAATGGAACAAAGCCAGAAAGAATACGGCTGATAGAGAAGCCTGGCCGTCTCTCAGGCAAACCTCTACACCACAAGGTAGAAAAGTAAGTGAAGAAGACAACTTAAAACCCACATAAAAGAACAATCTACCACACATGATGGTGTGCCATTTCAGTTGCACCACAACCTGGAAGGGGGAAGGGGCAAGGACCTTGGACCACCCCAAAAAACATTTTAAGTGGAAGGAAGTTTGAGTTTAGGACAAGCACTCACCCCCCCCCCCCCCCATAAGAAAGAGAGACTGTAAAGGGTATAAGCAGCCCTCTTCTTTTCCTTAACCATGTCTAGAAGTTATTTTCAAGTATCTGGCGATATAGTTCACATTAATTCACATATAATAGTATTTTTGCATTCAGCATTTAATAATAATAATTATTAATACACACTTAAATTAAGCTTAAGTCCCACTGAGATTTTTTTCAAAATTCGGCCAAGCATGTGTCACTTCACACATATGCAGTGAAATCTTAATACTTTTTCCCTAAGCTGCAGTAAAAGTCTTACTGTGAATTCAAATCACATCACTGTGACGATTAACCAGTACATGATCCAGTATGCAGCAACAACCGCAAAAAAAAAAAAGGTTTCATCCACAGAGAAAGACAGAGAGAGAGAGAGAGAGAGGGGGGGGGGGGGGGTGGGGAACAGACAGACAAGAACTTACTTGTAGAAACTTGACTTAAGTAGCTAATTTGCTGACTTAATCCATTCTCAATTTCTTGCAGGGTTTTCAGAAAGTTGGATGTGTGACTCTCAACATGCTTCAGTGCTGGCTTGTCCTTCGATAATTCTTGAAGTGCCTGACCTACACCAAAGGACAGCAAAAGGTGTATTTTTAGAGATCATAAGTTAGTTGCATGTTCTCTTTCAGACATCGAAAACCCCTGCATTTATTAGCTGTTGTGTGATCTTACTAGGAAATGGTACGTTCAGTAGTTTGTCATCGTCTGAATCGCACAACACTTATACGGTTTGCCACACTCAACATTAGGCCGTCTGCTACCATATCACCCATGACTGATGGTTGAACTCTGGTAAGCTGGGACTGTGGAACTGTGTTCACAACCTTAACTACTGACATCATTTTAAACAAAAAATTTTTATTAGTCGGTAAACAGTCTGTATACAAAATTTGTGTGTAAACTGTATTGTATGTTTTATATATATATATATATATATATATATATATATATATAGGCGTCTGCAGGGTACGTGTATTTGTGCAGTATATATACAGAGCGTTGCTTTGTGTTAGTATTAATGTTGCAGGTGTCTGAATAACTTTGCGAACATATAAACAATAGGGAAAAGAGGGGAGACAAAAACATTGGAGGCGGACGAGGGGCGGGAAAGAGTACAGGAGGGAGAAGCAGCAGGATATATTTACATGTGCCTTTCGGCTATGATTAATCATTTTGAAAAAGAAAAAAAAAATTATTTTAAAATCAATGATAGTGCAAAACATTATTATGAGTCATATCAAATATTTACAACTACTGACATCAACTAAGAGCTTATACCAAATGGAAAAAAAAACAAAGTAATGAATACTTCTTTTACTGTGGTCATTTTAAAAGGGCGGCTGACATACTTTGTTGTGGTTTACAGCCAGCCTTGGATATACGCACTTTTCAAATTTCAACAAACAGCTAATTAATCACATTTTACACTACAGCATCCTTGGGAGGGGGTGGAGGGGTTACCAGCCCTCTAAAAAACAAATGAGGACGCAGAAACTTAATGGTAAATTAACACTGGGAGGCATCAAATTAGTTTTCATATATTTTTTGGGTGAGCATCCTGAGATCCTCTCTTTAGGTAATGTATGGGTAGTTGAAGTTGAAAAGTTATGCCTCTCTTTATTGATATTGTTTATTAATAATACAGTACTTTTACTACAATTTCTACTAGTATTACTATTAACAGAAGTGGGTAAGTAATATTAATTATGAGTGCTCGGAGAGTGAAACACTCAAACAGCTTAAGTGAGGCTGGCTGATCCATTAAAACAGAAGGGATTGTTCACAAGAACAAGACATCTTCCTGCACTGACGCTGCAAGACATTCCACGAGTCAGCAGAGAAAAGAAAAAGTCGAAGTACATCTGCTTGGCCTTGAGAGGGACGAACAGAGAGTCTATATTTCAATCACACAAATAGCACACTCAACCAGACCTGCGCTTTGTATAGCTGTTGAAATATCCTTTTCAATTTTTTCCAGGGCTAACAACCTTTCTCTTGGAGCGCCAACTGTTTGTTGTGTGCTTGCCAT